CTGATTCTTGCTCTGGAAGCTTTGTCTCAGAGGTGTACCCAGCCATGTGAGGTGTGAGGTGTCAGTCTGCCCCTAGTGGGGGTGTCTCCCAGTTAGGCTACTTGGGGGTCAGGGACCCACTTGAGTATGCAGTCTGTCCATTCTCAGATCTCAAGCTCCATGCTGGGAGAACCACTGCTCTCTTCAAAGCTGTCAGACGGGGTCATTTACATCTGACAAGGTTTCTGCTGCTTTTTTTTTAGCAATGCCCTGTCCCCAGAGGTGGAATCTACAGAGGCAGGCAGGCCTCCTTGAGCTGTGGTGGGCTCCACCCACTTCGAGCTTCCCGGTGGCTTTGTTTACCTACTTAAGCCTCAGCAATGGCAGGCACAACTCTCCCAGCCTCGCTGTCCCCTTGCAGTGAGATCTCAGACTGCTGTGCCAGCAATGAGGGAGTCTCTGTGGGCATGGGACCCTCCGGGCCAGGCATGGGATATAATCTCTGGTGTGCTATTTCCTAAGACCCTTGGTAAAGCGCAGTGTTAGGGTGGGAATTACCCGATTTTCCAGGTGTTGTGTGTCTCAGTTTCCCTTGGCTAGGAAAAGGAATTCTCTTCCCCCTTGCGCTTCCCAGGTGAGGTGATGCCTCACCCTGCTTCAGCTCTCGCTGGTCGGGCTGCACCCACTGACCAGCACTGACTGTCCTGTCCAACACACCCTAGAGAGGTGAATCCGGTACCTCAGTTGAAAATGTAGAAATCACCTCTTTTCTGTGTCGCTCACGCTGGGAGCTGGAGGCTGGAGCTGTTCCTATTTGGCCATCTTGGGCACCCCCGCTGTGGATTATTTTTTTTTCCTCCCTGTTTTGTCCTCTTTTCTTCAGCTCCAGGATTGAGTACAGTTGATGCTTAGACAACACAGGCACTGAGGCACTGACCCCCACTCTGCAGTCAAAACTCTGACTTCCCCAGTCAGTAGACTACTAATAGTCTACTATTGACTAGAATATTTACCAATAACATAAACAATTGATTGACACATATTTTGTGTGTTATATTTTATATATTGTATTCTTACAATACCACAACTAGAGAAAAGAAAATGTGAAGAAAATCATAGGGAAAAGAAAGCATATTTACTGTTCATTAAGTGGAAGAGGATCATCATAAAGGTCTTCATTCTTGTTTTCACATTGAGCAGGCTGAGAAAGAAGAGAGGTTGGTCTTGCTGTCTCAAAGGTGGGAGAGGAGGTAGTGGTGGAGGAGGTAGAAGGAGAGGCAGGCACATTGGGTCTAACTTTTATTGAAAAGAAAAACCATGTTTAAGTGGACTCATGCAGCTCAAACCATGTTGTTCAAGGGTCAACTGTATTTTACAATTTCATTGCATTTTTCTTCTTTCTTGTTTTGGAGATTATACACTACTCTTTTTAAAAATGGCTATCATGGAAATTTTGTATGCTTATCAAATCTGATGTTTAACAATACCCTCATCCTTCATCCTTCTCCTGGGAAGAGCAAGGATCTTAGAAACTTTAATTCCATTTATCGCCCTTAACTAATATGTTATTATGGTCTCTTTTTTTTTGTATTTTTAATTCCCCTGTGTTGTAATTTGTATTTATTTAATATAGTCTATATTTGTTTAGTTTACCTACGTATTTGCCACTTTAACTTTTCTTACAGCTCAGATCATCCTCCTGGGGTCAGTTACCTTCTGTCAGAACTATTTATTTAGAATTATTTTTCCTGTGAGAGTTAATTGGTGACATAATTATTTTGTTTGCCTGGTCTTTTTTTTTTTTTTTCCTTGTTCTGTAGGGAATTTTTTTTTTTTTAATACTTTAAGTTCTGGGATACATCTGTAGAATGGGCAGGTTTGTTACGTAGATATACACATGCCATGGTGGTTTGCTGCACCCATCATACCGTCACCTACATTAGGTATTTCTCCTAATGCTATTCCTCCCTTATCCCCCCACCCCTTGATAGGCCCCTCCCTGTGTAATGTTCCCCTCCCTGTGTCCATGTGTTCTCATTTTTCAACTCCCACTTACGAGTGAGAACCTGTGGTGTTTGGTTTTCTGTTTTATTAGTTTGAAGGTCTTTATGCCATTCTCATTTTTGAATGAAAATTTTATTGAGTATAGAATTGTAAATTTGCAGTTATTTTCTGAAGTATCATTTCACTATCTCTTAGCATCCATATTTGCTGAAGAGAAGTCACTTGTCAGTCTGTCACCTTTGAAAATAATGTATCTTCCTCTCTGTGTGTGTGTGTTATAAATATTTTTCTTCTAATTTCACTCTGATGTGTCTGTATTTGGGTTTCTGTATATTATGTTTGGATTTATTGGCTGCTTAACCTGGATTGTTGATGTTCATTAGTTATGAAAAATTATTAGTTAATGTTTCTTTCTTTCCTTCTTTTCCTTCCTTCCTTCCTTCTTTCCTTCCTTCCTTCCTTCCTTCCTTCCTTCCTTCCTTCCTTCCTTCCTTCCTTTCTTTCGAGACAGAGTCTCACTCTGTCACCCAGGCTGGAGTGCAGTGGCACAATCTCGGCTCACCGCAACCTCCACCTCCTGGGTTCAAGCGATTCTCTTGCCTCAACTTCCTGAGTAGCTGGGATTACAGGTGCGTGACACCATGCCCAGCTAATTTTTGTATTTTTAGTAGATACAGGGTTTCATCATGTTGGTCAGACTGGTCTCGAATTCCTGACCTCATGATTCACCCACCTCGACCTCCCAAAGTGCTGGGATTACAGGCATGAGCCACTATGCCTGGCTAGCTAATATTTCTTAAAATAGTGCCTCTCTGCTCCATTTTCTTAATCCTTTATTTCCTTTCCTTGGACTCTGGTTAACTTATGTTAGGTATTCTTGCACTATCTTCCATGTCTTTTAACCTATAAAAAATATTTTTCATCACTTTGTCTCTCTGCCTTGCATTCTACATAATTCTTGTGATCTTTATTTTGTTTTATTATTATTAGTTTTATTGAGACAGGGTCTCTCTCTGTCACCCACACTGGAGGGCAGTGGCACCATCACGGCTCACTGAAACCTCAACCTTCTGAGCTCAAGTGATCCTCCTATCTCAGCCTCCTGAGTAACTGGGACTAAAGACGTGCACTACTATGCTTGGCTACTTTTCATATTTTTTTGTAGAGACGGGATTTTGCCATGTTGCCAAGGCTAGTATCAAATGCCTGGGCTGGAGCAATTCACCTGCCTTGGCCTCCCAAAGTGCTGGGATTCCTTAATTCTGGTTCATTAATTCTCCAAAGCTGCATGAGATTTGTGGTTGAGTTGATATAGTGTTTTTATTCAATTGTTTTAGTTATCATCTACAAGTTGTTCCTGGTTTAGGTTTGTTAAATCATTTTTAGTTTTCTGTGCCAGGAGTATATTTTCAGCTTGGTTTTTGTTCCTTTAAACATAGTAAACATAGCTCGTTAAAATTCCAATATTTAAAGTTTTTTGGGGGTCTATTTTTGCTATTCTCATTTGTGGCGCTTTGTTTCCATGCCGACCGACTGAGTTATTTTTGACTGTTAACTGCTCATTTTCCTTGGAAAATTATTTGTGGAACTTCTTTGAGGTCTAGGATGAAAGCAGTAGCTCTACGAAAGATTTGTGTTTCTTCTAAGGCAACCGAGTCCACTACCAGTTTGGAAGAGTTTTAAACTAAATTCCACTTGAGATATTTTTTAAAATTTAAGTTGACCTGTTTATTTGTTTATGTTATGACAAAATATACATAATATAAAGTTTACCATGTAAACCATTTTACGTGTCTGGCTCGAAATTTTTTATAAGATTCAGTGACTGTGACTTTAGGCTGCAATTTCACTGAACCGGTTTTTGTTTATAGCTTATTAGGGACCCCACACTCTGTTCTACTCAGCAGTACAACTTTCCTTGCAGCCTTCTATAGATACATGATGGGAGAAGGGGTTCTCCATTCACTGAAGCCATGGCCCTTTGGGTTCTCAGCTTTCTGGGAGGACGGTTGGGCAAGGACCGTCTGCTAAATGTATCCTGTCTTGTCTTCTAGAGAGACTTTGCCTTTCAAGACCATACAAACTGCAGTTTTAGGTCACCTGATTGGGAAGTGCCCTTAGGGCAAATGTAACTTCAGGGTCTAGTTTACTTCTCTGAGTGTCTGCCAGTACTTGGAGTTTCATATGATTATGTCTCACCATTTTATTTACCCTGTTTTGCTTTTAAAATGGTATTTTAAATATTTTATTGAGCATTTGTAGTTTTCTGTTTCCGATAATCCGAATGCCAAATTGTGGAAAAACGGAGCCTGCCCTCTTAACTAGTCTGCTGGCACACAGGGCTTGCAGATCCCTTTTTTCTCATTTCTCGGGGGAAGACAGTCACGAACATAACTTTAAGAAGGCTGATATAGGCTCTGATGTCAACCATCAGGAGAGACACTGTAGGAAGGCACCTGGATTCTTAGGAGTGGGGAGGCATGACTTTGTTTCTAATTAGCAAGAGAGTGGACAGATACTAAAGGTTACATAATAATGGTACTGTGCTCCAGAGCTCAGGGTTGGGAGAGAGTTTCAAGTTCAGGCAATAGTGTATGTGTTATCAAAAAGTTAAAGAACAGACACTGAAAAGGATATTAGATATTTTTTAGTGTTGGATATTTGGATAACCTGTATTTGGATTATCTGGATTATTTGAATTTCATATTGGGTAGTTGATTATCTTTGATAGTGTAATTTCAATAGAGTATTGAGGGTGAACTTTTGTATAGCGTTAAAAAGAGAATGTAGGCAATGAGTGTTTCCAAAAGACAATAATTGCCGTTAGATATAAGCAAGATCTTCATTTTGTTGATATTAGTATATATGTGACTGTGAGGTTGAAAGTTACAAAGCTAATGACATATAAAAACGAATCACTAGGTATGCAAATAATGTAATAGTATAGTGGATGTATGTGTTCAGAAATATTTAGGCTCAAATTTAATGCTGCTTTTCTTATATATTCTGATATTGAGGTTCCCAGACGTTATGATGATGAGCGGAATAATATTTTATTGGAACTCATACAATATGACAATACAGAAAAACGTGCCGTCTTGTTAGGGAGTGTTCAGGTACACCTTTATGAAGTAATTCAGGTATGTATAAATGATTTTTTTCACCTTGGTATCATGTTGCCAGTTGGTTGTCCAGTTTGTTGTTGTGATTTATTATACTTGACGGGCTTTTTTGTTTATCATCTGCCTTCAAATTCGTGTGCTTAAGAAATAAAATCTCCCTTTGGCTATATATTTTTTAAAAGAGTTGGCTTATAGTAGCATAATGTTTTTAAAAATTTATTTTCCAGCCTGTAATCCCAGCACTTTGGGAGGCCAAGGCGGACAGATCAACTGAGGTTGGGAGTTCGAGACTAGCCTGACCAACATGGAGAAACTGCATCTCTACTAAAAATACAAAATTAGCTGGACATGGTGACGCATGCCTGTAATCCGAGCTACTTGGGAGGCTGAGGCAGGAGAATCGCTTGAACCTGGGAGGCGGAGGTTGCGGTGAGCCGAGATCGTGCCATTGCACTCCAGCCTGGGCAACAAGAGCAATATTCCATCTCAAAAAAAAAATATTTTCCAGAATACATATATATATATGAAATTAAGTAACCAAAAAACCTACACTTAGACTTTTAGGTTGTATCACTAACTAACTTTCTGGAAAATAAAATTTCTTGGCCCACTGCAGCCTCCTCCTCCCTGGCTCAAGGGATTCTCCTGCCTCAGCCTCCCCACTATTTGGGACTACAGATACATGCCACTGCACCTGACTACTCATTGTATTTTTAGTAGAGACAGGGTTTTGCTATGTTGCCCAGGCTGGTCTCGTACTCCTGAGCTCAAATAATCTGCCCGCCTCAGCCTCCCAAAGTATTGGGATTACAGGCCTGAGCCACCATGCCTGGCTATTTAAATTTGCAAATAAAAGTTGCATATATTTATCATGTACAGAATGATGTTTTGAAATATGTATACATTGTAGAATGGCTAAATAGAGTTATACATGTTTTATTATGTTTCTGAAATGTCTTAAGACATGACTGAAGCCGTAAACTCTGTCTCTTAGTTGGCAACACAAATTTTGGTTTAGTTCTTTCATCCTTAGCTGGGCTGCTTATAGACTTCCTTGTGCATGTGTCTTTTAGGGGTTAGCCAAAGATTTGGGCAGAGTTTATACACAGATTTTGTGGTTGCTTCCCTCTTGTTTTCTCCTTTCTAGGAGTCCTTTTCACTTTCCAGCAGCTCATTTTGTGGTTGTGTTGAACTCAGAGTCAAGAACTTATTGATTAGTGAATAAGTACAAACAACCTAAAGTATTTTCAGGAATATTTTTTGTTGCATACAGCAAGGAAGTCTTCAAAGACTAATGGGGTTATGTCAACAGCCAGATTGCAGGGACTCCTATTGGCCAACTTCAGAATAACTTGAACATAGATAATTACAACATTCTGAATAAAGGAAAATTCATGACTCCGTGATAATCTTCAAAAAAGAAAAGAAAAGAGGTGGCATAGGAAGAAAAAGGAAATTTTTAAAACAAAAGAATACCAGTTTATGAATGTGGAAGTAATGAAAGAATTACAAATTATTGTTTTTGCAACTCTTTATAATGAATAATGATTAATTCAGTCAATATTTAGTAATGGCACCAAAAACCATTAGGTAAAAGGTTATTGGGAAGCAAGATACTTGCATGGCGCCATAGTAACAGTGCAGGGGAAATGTTCCTCTACAATAGAGAGATGTGGTAGTTGCCACTTTAACCAAGAGCTCAAATTTAGCATAATGAATTGTGGATAACTCAGCATCATGTACTTCCTGTAGTGATACAATATGATGTACACAACATTATCTGTGACTTATCGTCATCAGAAATGTTTAACCTGGCTGGCTGCGGTGGCTCAGGCCTGTAATCCCAACACTTTGGGAGACTAAAGTGGGAGAGTTGTTGAGGCCAGGAGTTGGAGACCAGTCTGGCAACATAGCAAGACCCTGTCTCTACACACAGAATTAGCCAGGTGTGGTGGCATGTGCCTATAGTCCAAGTGACTTGGGAGGTTGAGGCAGAAGGATCGATTGGGTCTAGGAGTTCAAGACTGCGGTGAGCTATGATCGTGCTACTGCACTCCAGCCTGGGTGACAGAGCAAGACCCTGCCTTAAAAACAAAAAACAAAAAACAAAAAAGTTCAACCCAAATCTAATCAAGCTGAGTGTAGAACTAACTTCAAGTTTACGGGAATTTAGTAAGTAGGGAAAAAGTTAAACAATACCTTGAGATAATACAGAAATGGGACATACCAGTGTAGATTCTTTAAATAGCGGTGATCATTAAAAAAAAAAAAAATGCACCAAAGATGGAAGAAACTGTTCTAGATTTAAAGAGATACAACCAATTTGACTGAATACAGATTTGAAAAAGTTATAAAAGACTCTCTTGGGAGCCAGGCATGGTGGTTCACACCTGTGATTTCAGGACTTTGGGAAGCTGAGGGAGGTGGATTGCTTGAGCCCAGGAGTTTGAGACCAGCCTGGGGAACATGGTAAAACCCCTTCTCTAAAACAAACAAACAAAAAACCCCCCAAAACCCACAAAACAAAACCCACAAAAAAACACCCACAAAAAATTAGCCAGGCATGGTGACACCTGCCTGTAGTCCCAGCTACATGCGGGGCTGAGGCAGGAGAATCACATAAGCCCAGTGAGGTCGAGGCTGCAGTGAGCCATGATTGCACCACCGCACCCCAACCTGGGCAACAGAGTGAGACCCTGTCTCAAAAAAGAAAACATAAACATAAATAAAAGACATTCTTGGGACAATTAGGAAAATTTAATAAATATTTACTGAATATTAGAAAAAATTCTAGAATTGTTAATTTTCTTGGGTGTAATACTGATATTTTAGGTATATAAGTATGAATATTCTTATTTTTACAGTATCCAAGGTAAAGTTTTAAAATTGGGAATGAAGAGTAATGATGATTGCAACTTATAAATAGATCAGCAAACATATATCTATACACACACAGAGATTTTAAAAAATGGCACACTGTTAAACAAATATTTGAATTTCTTTACTCCTCCATGGAGTGTATTTATTGGAGTCTTTTGAGTGGTTTGTGTGTTTGAAAATTTTCATGATAAGAACTTGGGGAAAATCAGATAAATTTCTAATACATAGAAAGAGATGAAGAAGGAGATAAACATATGGAGTAATGCATAAATATAAGCAACCAGAGAGTCTCAAAAATATTTTGGGAGAAGATCTTTGGAAATGACTAAAGTTCCTTTGACTATGGCAATTTAGGCATCAAAATATGTGACATTACGTATTAGTTAATTTTTGTTGAAGAAAATGTAGAAACTTAGATACTTAGGCTAGAAGCATATATGCAAACTTTTCAATATTTATTTTTATAAGATCAATAATATGCTAATATTGTAAAATACAAAGGTAAATTTTTTAAAATTCAAAAATCACCCATCATTCCACAATTCTAATATAATGTTTCATTGTTCAGAGTTTCTTTCCAATTCTTTCTTATAAACATAAACAGAAAAATAGAAAATATAAAAAGACACAAATGTGTATTCTGGAACTGAAAAGTAAAATATCTGAAATTAAAAATTTGCGGATTGGGCTCAACAGCAGAATGGAGGTGCTAGAGGAAAGACTATTGTTTTCTTATAACTTTCTTTAAAATTTGTGTGACTATTTAAAGTAAAAATCATAACCTGATCTGTGCGGTTTATAATGTTTGGAGAGGTAATGCATATGACAACCATAGCGTATAGCATAGGGAGAAGATGAGGTCTAAAGGACTTTTATAATACAAGATTTTTGCGTTTTCTCTGTTTTATTATAATAAACATAGAGTTCAAGTCTTTATGTTGCTGCTTGTTGCCATCTTCTGTCTCCTCCCTCTCCCTCAAGAAAAAATGATTATCCAAAACTTTGTATTTATTATTCCCTTATTTTTTCATAACTTTACTACTTATGTATGATTGTAGAAATATTACTTTATATTTCTAAGTATACTATGTTTCTAATATTAATACACTTAGCTAGTCTTAATTTTTTGCTGCTGTATAAAATTCCATATGGATATATTCCTGTTTGCCCATGAATTAATTTTTTAGCTGATTATTTATTTTTAATTGACAAATACTGCATATATTTATGGGGTACAATGTGATGTTTTGATCTATGTATACACTGAAAAAGGTTCAATCAAACCAATTAATATTTCCATCACCTCACCAACTTATCTTTTTTTATAATGAGGATGATGAAAATCTATTTTATTCAGCAATTTTGAAACATACAATACGTTATTATTAACCAGGCAGTGCAGTAGATCACTAGAACCTGCTCCTCCAATCTAACTTTATACACATCCTCCCTTTCTCCATTCCTACCCCTACTCCCCAGCTTCTGGTAACCACCTTTCTACTGTTTCTATGCGATTGACTTGTTTAGATTTCACAGATAAGTGAGATCATACAGTGTTTGTCTTTCTGTGCCTGGCTTATTTCACTTAGCGTAAGATTCTCCAGTTTCATCCATGTCACAAATGACAGAATTTCTTTTTATTTTAAAGCTGCATAGTATTCCATTGCATGTAGGTATATACACCACATACTCATCTGTTCATTTGGTGATGGACACTAGGTTGCTTCCATATCTTGGCTATCGTGCTGACATGAGTGCAGATATCTCTTTGACATACTGATTTCAATCCCTTTAAATGTATACTCAGAAGTGGGATTGCTGGATCATATAGTAATGATATTTTTAATTTTTTGAGTAACACCCATAGTATTTTCCAGAATGTCTGTATGGGTTAAATATCACTTATCTGAAAAAGTTTGGGACCAGAGGCATTTTGGACTTCTAATTTTTTTTTTTTTATTTTGGAATATTTGCATACACATAATGAGATAGCTTGGGGATGAGATCCAATTCTAAACGTGAAGTTCATTTATGTTTCATATACGTATTATACACATAGCCTAGTGGTAATTTTATATAATATTTTAAATAATTTTGTGCATGAAACAAAGTCTTCTTTGTATATTGATTGTGACTTGTCACATAGGCCAGGTATGGAATTTTTTACTTCTGGTGTCATTTTGGCACTCAAAAAGTTTCTGGAAAATTGTGGACCTACTCATAACAGCAGAGATGACTAGATATTGAGCAAGGATACCAAAGGTTAACGTGGTTTGAAAGATCCAGCCCTCCCTGAGAGATGAGAGAAGTACTCAGTCCTATCAGGAGTCAGCTTATCATGTAGAATTATGTTTAAGTAACCCCTCTCTCAGGAGGGTGCAAGGTTAGAGGTAACCAGGCCCATGCATGTTTGTGTCTTTCGACAATGTCAGGCTTTTATTAATGCTATTTCAATCATGAAAGCCACAAGCTACATGGAGTTCCCAAGGAGCCAGTTCTCCTTAGTACCTCCCGTTCACTTGGCATGCCATGGGCACACAGGCTCAGGCCACTCCACAAGTCAGTCCATATTGCAAACATACCTAATAGTACACTTAATATGTAAACATTACATTCCACAACAAAGTAACATTTAATATCAAGAGGAAAAAGAAATAGGAGAAAAGGTTAACGAACTGGCCTATGGGGAGCAAAGAAGACAAAAGGAGCCCTGGTCTGGGCTGGGCAGTCCATCAGTTTTGCAAGGAGGAGTCTGAGGTTGCAGAACCAACCTTCAGTGGCAGAAGTCAAGTTCTTATCACAAGTGGCTGTAAGATGGTGTCAGTTAAGATGGCTGTTTCGAGCTGCTGAAAGCCTAATCTTTTACAGTCACAGAGTCCTCTGCTGAAAACAGATAGTGGAAGAGTGTGCTTGTTTCTGTCCTTATCTGATTGAACGTAGTCTTTATTTTTTTATTTGTGCATTAAACGAAACATCTTATCCTTATTGGCAAAGTGCCCTATAAAATATAAAATGGAGTCTTTTTCTAAGATGGAGTTAGTTATGTCAAGGATGCTCAATACAACCTCAAAAACAATGTAGGCATGGCAGTTCCTTTAAGACTTTCAAAAAGGTGAACTGTAACTTAGCAGAACATTTTTGTCTACAACATAATGTAAATACATTTATTTCTGTTACTTGAACTTGGAATTTTTATTTTCTTCTTTTGAACTTTCCTTATGTTTGTACTTTGGCTATTAGGTTCATATGTGCATTTGAAAAATTATTACCTGATTTGTGGTTTAGATCAGTGGTCCCCAACCTTTTTGGCACCAGGGATGATTTTTGTGGAAGCAAATTTTTCCACAGACCAGCATGGGGAGGGTGGGTCGAGATGGTTCAAGTGCATTACATTTATTGTGCACTTTATTTCTATTATTATTACACTGTAATATATAGTGAAATAACTATACAGCTAACTCACCAGAACGTAGAATCAGTGGGAGCCCTGAGCTTGGTTTCCTGCAACTAGACAGTCCCATCTGGGGATGATGGGAGGCAATGACAGATCATCAGGCATTAGATTCTCACAAGGAGCTCGCAACCTAGATCCCTTGCATGCACAGTTCACAATAGAGTTCGTGCTCCTGTGAGAATCTAATGCCCCCACTGATCTGGCAGGGGGTGAAGCTCAGGCGGTAATGTGAGTGATGGGAAGTGGCTGTAAATACAGATGAAGCTTTGCTCGCTTGCCCACCACTCATTTCCTGCTGTGCAGCCCAGTTCCTAATGGGCCATGGACCAGTACCACTCCATAGTCTAGGGGTTGGGGACCCTTGGTTTAGATAATATACAGGGAAATACATGAGTAATTCTATATTTAAAATCTTTTATTTTATTTTTTCTAGAAAGGGTGCTTCATTGAAGAAGTCCAAGTGTTGCATAGAAACGTAGTAAGGACTTTCCTGAAACTTCTTAAGTTTTATGTGCATGTAATATTTTCTTAACATTTCATGTAACTTTACTCTGACATTATTTGTAGCCTACATGTTTCTTATTCTTTTAGTTACTGTACCAGTCACTGTTTGAAATAGTAGAAATGTATGAAATAGGAAGTACAATATTTACTAACAAAAATCTCTTCCTCCTCCTCCTCTTTTTTTTTTTTTTTTTTGCTAAATGGTGATAAAGAAAATTAGAAATCTTTGGGTAAGAGAGTTGAATGCCTCTGGCTGCTGCCTTGACTGCATAGCCTCAGGAGCCTCACTTGCTAAATTGAGGAAGTATTATTTTTTTCGCTGGGGAGTTTCTAAAGAGTTGTTTACAGTTCTTAATTTAATTTCTTTTTAAGTCCTTAAAATTAGTAGTTAGATTAATTGATCTTTCTATTCAGAGAGACTTTTGCTGCCAGTGGCCAAAACAGGGGCCAGGAACATAGAAAACAGAATGATGGACACTTGACTTTATTACCTCTCATGCCCTCCTTTATTTCACATATAAGCAACCTGGGTTGCAGAGAAGTGAAATCACTTGTCTAAATCAAAATTTTATCTGAAACTGGGACTGGAGGTAAGAGGAGTGTTAGTAAATATTTAAAAATATACATGCATGAATGTATATTTATTCATATACATGTATGAATCTACATGTATATATATGTGTGTCAGTGTCTCATTGTAATCCTAGTAATAATTAGAAGTTGATATTTTCCATATTTTAATTGTATAATACTACTTAACTTTAACATAAAAGGTTTTTTAACATTTTAGGAACTCAATAAATTCTTCTGTAGGAGTTCCTTGTGTAAATGCTTTTTTAAAAGTCGGGAGGTTCATACTTTGGCTTTTCTAACTTACAGATCTGTAAAGTAAAAATATCACTTTTTGTCACTTCTCCATTAAAATATCATCCTGATCAAACAATAAAATTTACCGCATGTTTAGTTTGTCTGCAGGCTGGAGGCGGAATTTATGTTCTCCTATGGAAACTTTGGTTATGGATTTTCACATCAGGTTAGTTCCCCGCTTTTAAAAGATTATTCTGTTGTAACTCTTCAGTCAAATTATCCTCTTCTGAGGCTCTATTTCAGTTTGATCAATTATTTAAAATAAATATTTTTAAAAGATGCTTCTTTACCTCCCGATCTTGGGGTATGTGGGCTTTTCTTCAGCCTAAAGAAAGATGAGACTTTACTATGATTTGTTTATACATTTTGAAGCAATGATATTTTATTCGACATGTCTTTATTATAAAACTTGATTTTAGGCTAGACGTGGTGGCTCACACCCATAATCCCAACACTTTGGGAGGCCGAGCTGGGTGAATCACCTGAGGCTGGGAGTTCGAGACCAGCCTTTCCAACACGGCGAAACCCCATCTCTACTAAAAATACAAAAATTAGCCGGGCATGGTGGCAGGCACCTGTAATCCCAGCTACTCGGGAGACTGGAGCAGGAGAATCGCTTGAACCTGGGAGACAGGAGTTGTAGTGAGCCGAGATCGTACCACAGCACTCCAACCTGGGCGATAGAGTGAGACTCTGTCTCAAAAAAATAAAATAAAACTTGCTTTTATTTGTGTGTACACATACATATTGATGTAATTTAAGGCACCAGTATTCAAGAAATCAGTGTAGATTTCTGCATCTAAAAATAGTTATTAAAAATTGAGTAATTGCCTGGCCTGGTGGCTCACACCTGTAATCCTAGGTATTCTGGAGGCTGAAGCAGGAGGATCACATGAGTCAGCCTGGGCAACACAGTGAGATCCTGCTCTGGGAAAACAAAATGGAGTAATTGATCTAATTCAGATAATATTTTGTACTCATACGGTCCTTTCCTCCACAGTTATTTCAACATCTGATGTTATTTGAACTCTCCTTGATTCATCAAGAGAGTAATAAACCCAAAGAGGATATCTTCCTAGTTTTGACTTCCTCCTTTAAATTCACTACCATAGGTCCACATTGCCACAAATACTTTTATGTACTAACCTATATCCTTTTCTTTCATTATGTCCTTAGGCCAGATTCCTAGAAAGGAAATTCTTGTCCAGAACAATGACCTTTTCAAGGAATTGTTCCAGAAAAGTTGTACCAATATATACTGTCATCAAATATTGAAAGAACTCTTAATATTCCTGGATGTCATCAGTTTTATGGTATTCAAAAATGCAGTCCTGTTAGTGCTGCTGTTGTGTAGGGGAAATGACCTTTATTTGCATATCATTTTTCACTTTCAGTTTTTCCTTTTTAAAGTTTTGGGTCTTTTTTTTTTTTTTTTTTTTTTTTGAGACGGAGTCTCACTCTGTCTCCCGGGCTGGAGTGCAGTGGCTTGATCTCAGCTCACTGCAAGCTCCGCCTCCCGGGTTTATGCCATTCTCCTGTCTCAGCCTCCCGAGTAGCTGGGACTACAGGCGCCCGCCACCTCGCCCAGCTAGTTTTTGTTTTTGTATTTTTTAGTAGAGACAGGGTTTCACCGTGTTAGCCAGGATGGTCTCGATCTCCTGACCTCGTGATCCGCCCGTCTCGGCCTTCTAAAGTGCTGGGATTACAGGCTTGAGCCACCGTGCCCAGCCTTTGGGTCTTTTTAAATTAGGAATTGAGAGTGAAGATATCAGCCTTATTAAACAAGTCTACCACTATGTTAACTGAGAAGTCTCTGTAATATGTTTTAAAATTTTGCCTATATTATAATGATGTTTAATACATTTTGAATCAGAAGTAATATACAGATGAAAGCCGCAAGGAACAAGCTTTTTTTCCCTTCTTTGCTTTGATTTTTTACTTTTTCTTCTGTTATTTTAAAAATTTCTTATCATAATTAGGCCTTATAGGGACCCCTAATTGTTTACTCCTTTTGTGACAGTTACAGCACATGAGCACCAACTCCAGAGGTAGGTTTTGTGTCTGAACATAAGTATAATATGTAGTAATAGTCATTTTTAAGGAGAGGTATTCTTTTCAGATAAAACTGGGCAAGTATTATTTTATGTAGGTGGAATCTACTAAAAACCAGGAACAAAGGAATTGTACAGAAAAAAATGGGATATATAATAAAAGTTCAAAATAAAAACTTGATTTTATATCTATGAACTTTTCAGTGATATGGTCCCCTACTTAACCTATCGTGATACTGTAAACAGGGCACTACACTGGGGGCAGACAAAGCTACATTCAAGTCCTGACTTTTGCCTATTGTGTAGCCTTGAACAAATTACTGATCTTCAGTATCATCTGTAGAATATACTTAGTTACTTACCATATAGGTTTATTGAGATAGTTAAATAAGATTAAAAGTATAATAAAATGCTTGGCAAATATTTAGTACCTAATAAATGTTAATTTTTTCTTTCCTCTCTTAATTCCTTATTTCCTTACATGTCTCATTTAAGGCCTATTTCATAGTCCTGGGTTATTCATAGCATTATGGTATTAATATGGTGTGGTATTACAATTAGTGAGTTTTAATTGTAACTAAGCAGTGCTAAAATACACTTACATTTTTTTTTCAGTTAAAACCTCTTCAGAAAATTACTGAACCATCCATGTTTATGAATCCTACACCACCTCCAGAAAGAACAGATCCCGTGACGTAAGTGTTTTAAGTCTCGTTAATATGGTCAGATCATGTGACATTTAAAACCATTTTAATCTGTTTGGTGGAGCATTTTGGTGGAGTTCTTTTAAGAAGTCCCCAGGACATGGCCAAGATGGGGCAGACTCTGAGGTGCAGAGAGTAGTGAATTGTTTTGCTTAATAACAGGGAGAAATTTTTAATTTCTGGGTATAGCCCTGGATAGAGGAGTTGAGGATGTGTGGAGATAAAAGAAGAGAAGGAGTGCCAAGTTCATGGCTGAAGGAAGGAAGGGAGGAGTAGCTTAATAAGGAAAGCAGGCTAAGGAGATACCCCTTTTGGGAAAAGAGGTGAGAGACTTAACATCAGACTGTCTGATAGTTATCAATTTTCTGCCCTGCAGTATAGTAATGTTACCCTTACCTCCACACCACTCCAACTGCTATAAAATCGTCTGTAAAAAGTCTATGGTAAAAAAAAAGTCATTAGCAAACCAAAAGTAACTTAAAATATAGTATACTAATCAATCTTGAAATTTCAACAATAAAAATAGATTATAGAAAAATAAGCACCTGAGAAAGAGATTTAATCTATAGTGTTATCCAAGAATAAGAAATGGAAAAAAGCTGAAATGGGATTGAGGGAATTAGGTATTGAATGGGAAATTGTGTTCTGAAGTGCTTATTTTCCTATAGTGTCACCAACACTGGATATTATCATTAAAATTCTCTATCTATTTGATATTGGTGATTTGTTGAAATAGTAAAGCTGAATTTTTTCTTATGTTTATTTATTTTTCTTCTTCATACATTGATTAAATAAACATTTATTGAATGTCTGCTATATCCCCAAGTCATGGCAGATACAAAGACATGTGAGGCCTTCTCCTTGCCCTTGATGCAAAGTAACATAAAAAATAATTACTATGATGATGCAAATGGAATAAAAGCCCTTCAAGAACCAAAAAAGAACTGTGAGACAGCCAAGGAGCTTCTAATTCTTGTTAGGGAAGTTGGGGAGGAAAGAATGATTAAATAAGGCTCCACAAAAGAAAGTGCTTAGAGTGAGACTTGTAAAAGTGGTAGTAGTGCATCTGGCTGATTTTGGAGGAGTGAGGGGACACATTCTCTTGATAGGGCACATAAATAAAAGCGGGGAGCCATAAGAGGCTCTATTATTTTGGAGAACAGTCTTCAGTTGAGAGTGGCTAAGAGATTAGGAGCAAGGAGGAGAGCAACGAGGGATGAGCTAGAGTAATTGGCAGGGGCAAGACACAGTGATTGAGAGTTCAGGCCCTAGAGCCAGACTGCATGGGCTCACATCCTATACGACCTTGGGCAAGTTACTTAGGCTCTTTATGCTTCATTTGTTGAATGGGATAAAAATTAAAACTACCCAATTGAGTTACTATGATGATTAAATAAGTTACATGCAAAGTACTTAGAACATGGTAGCAAATAGCAAAATGCCTAATTAGTTGTTACCTATTTATAAAATTAATAAATATTTTTCATTACCATCATCATCATTGTAGGTTTATGCTTCTCAAATGTGAGCAAATTTTACTCCTTTGGGTCCTCGGGAATATATTCCATATATATTCGAAAAGAACTATTTGAGTTTTTAAATTTATACAGACAGAAATCTGGAGAACATGTATAGGGATGGATATTAAGGGCAGGGGATGATGGTGGAAGGAAAATAAAGTTGGATCAGGCTGAGTTTATTGACATGGACTTACTAAACAGAGATTATTTTTATTTATTTACTTTTTGGAGACAGGGTCTTGTTCTGTTGCCCAGGCAACAGATCATGGTTCACTGCAGCCTTGACCTCTTGAGGCTCAATCAATCCTCCCTCTTCAGCCTCCCAAGTAGCTCCCAAACGTGTTACCACATTTGACTAATTTTTGTATTTTTTGTAGAGACAGGGTTTTTCCGTGTTGCCCAGGCTGGTCACGAACTCCTGCGCTCAAGCGATCCACCCACTTCAGACTCGGAAAGTGTTGGGATTGCAGGCGTGAGCCACTGCAGCTGGCCTAAGCAGAGATTTTTGCATTTAATGCTGCAGCTTGGGGAGTTAGAAAGGGCTCTCATAGCTTGTTTAGTTGAATGACTGAAAAAGGAACCAAAAGATGGCTCACAGTGAATTAGTTAGAAATGCTCGATTAATGTAGAGGAAGGGTTTTAGAGGTTCAGAGAAATTATGTTAGAGTGGACTTGCCATTTAAGATCGACTCACCCATCCTGGGAGGGTCCAAAAGACACACGTTTTACCATGACTATGAGAAATGAGTTTGTGAAGGGTACCCTGGCATCCTTAAAGAGCTCTGTGATTGCTCTTCCCTCTGGGCTAGACTTTATAGTGGCACCTGCAGTCACTGAATTGGGAAACTTAAATGCAATGGGAGTAATTGGGTCCCAGGGTGGCAGGAACCAAGTGAAGATACTCAACTGCCAAAGGCAAGGTGGGTATGGTTACCATAATGGACAGTAGAATCAAGTAAGTAATAAGAATAGTCTTAGTAGTGCAGACCTATGGTGTTGGCTATCTGATCCTGTGTTCCTAGACATGAATAGATAGGAAGCCTACTGAATTCTAACCTGATCCGTATAAGCAGAAAAGTTCTAGGTTGAGGGAACAAAAGTCTAATCTGCATCATAAAAACAGAATCATGACCTCTCAATCAATTCCCAGACTTGATCTACTTTACAGACTCAGAACTCCTTTAATGAAAGGGAGGTTGGGTCACCTCAAGAAAGGACCCTAGTATACTTCCAAAAATGTATGCCATTAGTATTTCTCCCAGTCTTCCCCAAAGGGACCTGTGGCCTTTTATCATGGTAATTGTGCACTAGGGAGAAGGGAACAATCAGGGCTTCTGGGAACTACTAGACACTGTCTCTGAACTAACACTAATTCCGGAAGACTCTGAATGTAACTGTGGTCCAGCAGTCAGAGTAAGGACTTATGGAGCTCAAGTGATCAACAGAGTTTTGGCTAAGGTCCATCTCACAGTTGGCTCTGTGAGTCCCTGAATATATCCAGTGGTTATTTCCCTGGTTCTAGAATGCATAATTGGAATAGATATTCTCAGTAACTGGCAGAATCATTGGTTTCCTGATCTATTGATTGAAGGCTATTATGTTGGGAAAGGCCAAGAAGAAGCCATAGAACTCCCTCCATCTATGAAAGTAGTAAACCGAAAGCAATACTGCATGGAGGAATTGCAGAGATTAGTGTCACCATCAAGGACCTGAAAAACACAGGAATGGTGATTTCCACCACATCTCCATTTAACTTCCATGTTTGACCTGTGAAGAAGACAGATGAAGAAGACGGTGGATTCTTGTGAGCTTAGCCAAGTGACAACTTCAATTGCAACTGCTACACCAGATGTGGTTTCATTGTTTGAGAAAATTAACATATCCCCTGGTATCTGGAGTGCAGCTACAGATCTGGCAAATGCTTATTTCTCCATGCCTGTTAATAAAGACCAGCAGGAGCAGTTTGCTTTTGGCTGGCAAGGTGAGCAATACACCTTCACTGTCCTAACTTAGGAGTATATCAGCTCTCTAGCCCTACATTACAATTTAGTTTCCAGGGATCTTGATTGCCTTTTTCTTCCACAAAATAGCGGACTGGTCCATTTTATTGATGACGTGCTGATTGGACCCGGTGAGCAAGAAGTAGCAACTACTCTAGACTTATTGATAAGACATCTTTGTGTCAGAGAGTGGGAAATAAAAATGACAAAAATTCAAGGGCCTTCTGCCTCAGTGAAATTTCTAGGGGTCCATGGTATGGGTGGTGATATCCTGTACACAGTGAAGGATGGGTTTTTGCATCTGGCTTCTCCTACAACAAAAAAGAGATACAACACCTGGAGAAATAACCACAGGTGGGCCTCTTTGGATTTTGGAGGTAATCTGTTCCTCCTTTCGGTGTGTTATTCTGGACCACTTACTGGATGACTCAAAAAGCTGCTAGTTTTGAGTGGGACCCAGAACAAGAGAAGGCTCTGCAACAGGTCCAGGCTGCCATGCAAGCTGCTCTGCCATTTGGATCATATCATGCAACAGATCTAATGACATGTTAGTGGCAGTCATAGGTACCTAGCTGTTGGTCAAAAATTGTTCTGAGAGGAGGGTGTTTTTGATGAGATTCACTTTTAAACTGGCACACTGAGGAAAGCAGGTTGCTCTCCCTAGTGTGGGTGGGCCTCATCCAATAAGTTGAATGAAACAAAAAGATTGACTCACCCTGGGGTAAGAGAGAATTCCTCCTGCCTGACTATCTTTGAACTGGAACATTAACTTTTCCCTGCCCTTGGACTCAAAGTGAAACATCAGCTCTTCTGGATCTGATCTCCAGCCTACCAGCCTTTGGACTGGAACTACACTATTGGCTCTCCTGATTCTCAGGCCTTTGAATTCAGTCTAAAATTATACCTTTGGCTCTCCTGGGTCTCCAGCTTGCTGATTAACTTTGTAGATCTTGGGACTTACCAGCCTCCATAATCACATGAGCCAATTGCTTATCATAAATATATTTATGTGTATATACATCCTATTGGTTCTATTTTTATGGACAACCCTGACTAATATAATGGAACAGAGGAACAAACTAATTTGTAAAGTATTTAGAATGTTTAGCTATATCTCCTGTAATTAGGAAGTGACTGATTGGAGATGGAAGATGACAGAAGGGGAAAGGAGGAAAAAAGATGTTCACATTTAGGGACCATTGGCTATACATTTGGTGCTGTTATTTCCTGAACCAGGGAACACTTAGGAAAGAGCGTATCTGGAGAAGGGGAAAATGGCGAGTTCTATTTTGGACATGCTGAGTTTAAGGTGCTTACTACTATGCATAGTATAGAATACAGTTTAAGAATCTAAACTTTATTGTCAAAGAGACTGTGTTCAAATGTTAGCTTTGCCACTTACCAGCTGTGAGACCTTGGGAGGAGTTGTTTAATCTCTCTAATACTAGCTTTTTTATATATAAAATAGGATCTAATAATTCTTAGCTGATGGGCTTGCTGTGAAAAGTGAATGAGGTAATATACATAGCCATATGAACATTGCACCTAGCACAAAATGCATTCCAAAAAATTAATAGATTTTAAAAATAAATATTAAACTAGTTCAACTATTGTGGAAGACAGTGTGGCGATTCCTCAAGGATCTAGAACTAGAAATACCATTTGACCCAGCCATCCAATTACTGGGTATATACCCAAAGGATTATAAATCATGCTGCTATAAAGACACGTGCACATGTATGTTTATTGTGGCACTATTCACAATAGCAAAGACTTGGAACCAACCCAGATGTGCATCAATGATAGACTGGATTAAGAAAATGTGGCACATATACACCATGGAATACTATGCAGCCATAAAAAAGGACGAGTTCATGTCCTTTGTAGGGACATGGATGAAGCTGGAAACCATCATTCTGAGCAAACTATCACAAGAACAGAAAACCAAACACCGCATGTTCTCACTCATAGGTGGGAACTGAACAATGAGAACACTTGGGCACAGGATGGGGAATATCACACACCAGGGCCTGTTGTGGGGTGGGGGGAGGGGGGAGGGATAGCACTAGGAGATATACCTAATGTAAATGACGAGTTAATGGGTGCAGCACACCAGCATGACACTTGTATACATATGTAACAAACCTGCACATTGTGCACATGTACCCTAGAACTTAAAGTATAATTTAAAAAAAAGAAATTAAAAAAAAAGAGATAGAAATTTGGGTCTAAAGATTTGGAGAGATGTCTGGGCTCAGATACTTTGTACTTCTCATTAGAACTTCAGGCCCTTCTGTCCTTTTCCATCCCTGCTGCCTATGGTCTGAGTTTAGTAGTAAGGATAATCAGGAGAGCGCTTACTTCTGGCTCTTGGCTTTTTTCCTAGCTCTGGCCTTCGATGGCCCAAGGTGGCCAGGTGAGCTAAAAGTGTAAAAGAGAGAAGGGTTCAAAAGTAATAGCCGCCACTGATTTTGGAAGTGGACTTTTGTATAATTTCAATATTTCACTTTATTATTATTTTGCAGAAAAGTTATTACACCACAGACAGTAGAATATCCAGCATTCTTATCCCCAGACCTGAATGTTACTGTTGGGACTCCAGCTGTGCAATCCTCCGACCAGACATCTTCTGTAGTGCGACTTGAAAAACTTCAGCAACAACCCCGGGAAAGGTAAAAAAAAAAAAAAAAAAAAAATTCAAAAGAGCTCAAAATTTTCATCTTAGGTGTTATTTGTATAATACATTAATTTCTCCCTTTGAGACATAGGCTTGCTGTAGGCTCAGAAACTTTCATTATGGTGCTATTGTTTCATTGATTCAGAGATTATTTCTGATTTTTACTTGTCAATTTAGGTATCTTGTTTGAAAAAGTGTTATGCCAAATAAAGAGGTGAAAACTCCCTTTATTTTTATGTTTTGAAGCAGAGTCTACTCTGTCACCCAGCTTGGCCCAGATTGGAGTGTTGGAGTGTAGTGGCATGATTATGCTCACTGCAGCCCCGAACTCCTGGGCTCAAGCAATCTTCCTGCCTCAGCCTCCCGAGAAGCAGGGACTACAGACACATCACACTACCACCACGCCTGGCTATTTTTTTTTTTTTTTGAGACGAGGTCTTGCTATGTTGACCAGTCTGGTCTGGAACTGCTGGCCTCAAGTGATCCTCCAGTCTCAGCCTCCCAAAGTGCTGGGATTACATTGTGCCTAGCTGAGGTGAAAACTCGTTTATGAGGGATAAAGCATAATTCTTGCTGTCTCCTCATTTACCAACGTATTTCGTAGGTCTCGTGCTTTTTTTTTTTTTTTTTTCTGTATTTCTTGTCCTTTTTTTGCTATGCTTCAGTCTAGGTATTTTCTTCTGAGTTATATTCTAGTTCACAAGCTCTTTCTTGTTTCTATTCTGCCACTAAATCAATTGAATTCTTAATTTCAGTTATTTTATTTCTCAACTATGGAATTTCCCTTCATTTTTATAGTTTCTATTTATCTGCCAAAATCCACAGCCTTGTCTTTTAATTCTTTGGACATATTTATTATTGTCTTGGTCAGCTCAGACTGCTATAACAAATACCACAGATTGAATGGTTTAAACAACAGACTTTTATTTATTTCAGTTCTGGAGGCTGGGACGTCCAAGATCAAGGTGCTACCTGATTTGATCCCTGCTGAGGGCCCTCTTGTTGGTTTGCAAATGGCCTTCTGTTTACCATATCCTCACACTGTGGAGGGAGATCATCTCTCTCTTGTCTCTCACCGTAATAGTACAAATCCCATTCATGAGGGCTCTTCCCTCATAACCCAATTACCTCCCAAAGGCCCTACCTCCAATTAGTATCACATAAGGGATTAGGATTTCAACATATGAATTTTGGGGTATGTACACTTTTCAGTTTATAGCAATCATTGCTATTTTAAAATCTGAGTCTGACCATTTCATTATCTGGATCTTCTGGGAGTCTATTTAAATTATTGGGTTTTTCTCTTAGTTTTCAGTCAGTTCTTACATTCTCACATGCCTAGTTGTTTTGATTGAGTGCCAGACATTGTATTTGAAAATTTATAGAACTGTTTTGAGGATCTTAATTTTAATTACATATTCCTACAAAGAAGGTATACATTTGTATCTGGCAACCGGTTGGGCTAAGAGCACTAACAATCCCAGATCACTTTAATTCAATTAAGACTGAAATTGAAATGATTTGAAGCTGGGCTTTAGTTCCTGTGAGGGGGGTTAGTCTCTTTGTTGTTTATTCTTACTCCTAGTGTCAGGACTGGGACTAGTGTGAGGCACATGAGGCAACTAGGTCATAACATTTAAAGAGACAGTCATTATCTTAAAGCCTTTTGGGGTCCCAACTGGGTGTTTACCAGGACTTCTCATCCCAACAAGCCCGGGACTCTGGTTTTTGTTCTGACATCCTTATGTCTCTATCTCAAAGCCCTGCTCAGCTTTTTAACTTCTTGGCCATCTCAAGGCATAAATGCCTTGAAGGAAAAATGGCACCAAATGATGGGCTCCATGTCTCTGGACTTCCTTTCTGTCTGGAATCTTTGGTATGCAAATCCTTGCTGTCTTTATAACTCAGTGATTCTTTCCAACACAATTTAGACAATGTTTTGTCCAGAATTTATAGTTGTGTGGTGAGATGATTGGTCTGAAATAACCTAGTTCAGAATCACAGTGATCACTTTAAAGATCATAGTATCTTTTCTGAAAGAACTTAGAGTATAATGAGTAGAGACATAACAAAGCAAAACAAATAAATTATAAATTAAGAAATAAACTACGAAGGTATCGAAAAGATGGCAGAAAATAAAGGAGGTGACTGATTTTTATAAGAATTGTTAGAGAAGGGGTTGGGCGCGGTGGCTCACGCCTGTAATCCCAGTACTTTGGGAGGTCAAGACGGGTGGATCACAAGGTCAGGAGATTGAGACCCATCCTAGCTAACATGGTGAAACCCCATCTCTACTAAAAATACAAAACATTAGCCGGGCGTGGTGGCACACACCTGTAGTCCCAGCTACTCGGAAGGCTGAGGGAGGAGAATCACTTGAACCCAGGAGGCAGAGGTTTCAGTGAGCAGAAATCGTGCCACTGCATTCCAGCCTGGGAGACAGTGCGAGACTCCATCTCAAAAAAAAAAAAAAAAAAAAAAAAATTAGAGAAGATATTTGAGGTAACATTAAAGGAAAGGAGTCAGCATACCAAAGATCCAGGGGTAGAGAATTACTGTATGAATATGTATGAAAGCTCTAAGATAAGAGGAGATTATGCCTAGAAAAAGATGGCAGCCATTGAAATGAAGCAAAAAGCAAGGGGGAACGCGGCTTAAGACAAGATAGGTGGAGACCAGATTATTCAGAGCCTTATAGACCATAATTTGAATTTTATTCTAAGAAAAATAGGAAGCCAATGTAGGTGTTTTATATTATTTTCCTTTTTCCTTCCTTCCTTCCTTCCTTCCTTCCTTCCTTCCTTCCTTCCTTCCTTCCTTCCTTTCTTCCTTTTTTTGAGATGGCGTCTCACTCTGTCACCCAGGCTGGAGTGCAGTGGCGTGATCTTGGCTCACTGCAACCTTTGCCTCCTGAGTTCAAGAAATTCTCCTGCCTCAGCCTCCTGAGTAGCTGGGACTACAGGTGTGTGCCACCAAGCCCGGCTAATTTTTTTGTACTTTTAGTAGAGATGAGGTTTCATCATGTTGGTCAGGCTGGCCTCGAACTTCTGACCTCAAATGATCCACCCGCCTCGACCTCCCAAAGTGCTGGGATTACAGGCGTGAGTCACTGTGCCCAGCCTATATTATCTTTTAAATATAATATTTGATCCAAAATAATAATCCATAATACTAATGTAAATTATGTATAAAATAATATAATGATACCAACCAGTACTCAACCTAACCTAAAATCTAAAACATTATGGATAATTTGTATCTACTTATGGGCTTCTCTCCTATTTCGTCCTCCTGCCTATTTCACAGAAGTTAACTACTTCAATGAGTTTTTATTATTTGCCTTTTGAAAATTAAGTTTTTTAAAAAAATCATATATGTAGGATGCTTAAATAATACATTATTTGATTTTGCTTACATCACCCACTGTTATGTTTCTAAGACTCATCTATGCTGTTTCATGGCATTCCATTTGGTGAATATACTGCAATTTTCATTTGTTTACTAATGATCATTAGGTGTATTCTCTCTTTATTGCTGCATAACAAATTGTCACAAACTTAGTTGTTTAAAATAGTATCTATTTATTTTCTCACAGTAAGTCAGAAGTCTGGGCAGAGTGTAACTGAATTCACGAGGCTGACCAGGCGTGGTGTGTCATGCCTCTAATTCCAGCACTTTGGGAGGCCAAGGCAGGCCGATCATGAGGTCAGGTGTTTGAGACCAACCTGGCCAACATGGTGAAAACCTGTCTCTACTAAAAATTCAAAAATTAGCCAGGCATGGTGGCGGGCACCTGTAATCCCAGCTACTCAGGAGCCTGAGGCAGGAGAATCATTGGAACCTGGGAGGCGAGGTTGCAGTGAGCTGAGATCACGTCACTGCACTCCAGCCTGGGTGACAGAGCAAGACTCCATCTCAAAAAAAAAAAAAAAAAAAAGAGAGAGATTTCACAAGGCTGAAATACAGGTGTTGGCCAGCGCATTCTTATTTAGAGGGGTTCTCTTCCAAGTTTGTTCAGGTTGTTTGAAGAATTCAGTTTCTCGTGATTATAGGAGCTTCTCTTCTTCTGGAACTCCCATAATGTGATAATTTGTTTCTTTAACCGTGTCCTGTAAGTCCTGTAGCCTTTCTTCACTCTATTCTTTTTCATCTGCCTGTATTATTTCAATAGACCTGCCTTTAAGTTAAGAAATTATTTCTTCTCTGTGGTCTGGTCTCAATTGTACATTTCATTATTTTTTTCCTTTTCTTTTTCTTGCTCTGTTGCCCAGACTCGAGTGTAGTGGCACTATCTCGGCTCACTACAATCTCCACCTCCTGGGTTCAAGCAGTTCTCATGCCTCAGCCTCTGAGTAGCTGGAATTACAGACGTGAGCCACCAAGCCTAATTTTTGTATTTTTAGTAGAGACAGGGTTTCACCTTATTGGCCAGCGTGGTCTTGAACTCCTGATCTCAAGTGATCTACTCACTTTGGCCTCCCGAAGTGCTGGGATTACAGGTGTGAGCCACTGTACATGGTCCACAATTTTACATTTTATTCCAGTCATCGAATTCTTCAGCTCTAGGATATCCGTTTGGTTCTTTTTATATCTGTATATTTGTTGAAATTCTCATTTAAATCATGAATTGTTTTCCTGATTTAATTGTCTATCTGTATTCTCTTATATCTGAGTTTCCTTAAGATCATTATTTTGAATTTTTTTCTGACATTTCATGTATTTCCTTATGATCGGGGTCTGTTAGTGGAGAATTATTGTTTTTATTGAAGGTGACGTTTCCTTGCTTTTTCGTAATTCGTGTGTCCCTACATTGATTTCTGCGTATCTGATGGAAAAGTCACCTCTTTGAATCGTATGTAGTAGATTTCCCAGGGAAATATTTGTATGAATATTGTATGACATCTTGGGATATCAGATTGGTGGGGCACATTGGCCCATTTCTAGGTGGATCCAATAGTTTAGTCTTCATCTAGTTTTTCAGCTATAATCTATAGTAGTGGTATTTGCAAGTTTCTCAGTAGCCTAGGCTGAGAGAGTCTATAGAGATGGTGGTGTGACTTTGTCAGGGATGGTCTCACTGGGCTGTTTCTTAAATGGGTGGCATGCAGTGGCTTGTCTGGCCTAGGAATATTCCTGCCCAGAGCAACTTGTGGGGCTGTTTCTTAGGCCTCAGATGTGGGCACACAGCTCTTCAGCTGGCCTGGAATCCTGTCTGCTAGGGGCAGCCTTTAAGGATATTTCTTGGGCCTGAGATGTGGGTGCACAGCTGCTTTGCTGGCCTGGTGATGTTTTTGCTGGGAGCTGCCCACAGGGCCGTTTCACAGGTCTGGTATTCAGGTGCAAAGCTGCTCAGGGGCGTGGCCACTGGAGGTAGCCTGAGGAGCTGTTTCTCAGGTCCTGAACATGGGCTCTTGGCTGCTTGCCCAGCCTGGGGATATGCCTGTCAGGGGCAGCCTCCAGCATGGTTTCTCTGGCCCTGGAATTTAATCTGTTTTTAGGCCTAATGATGGAACAGCTTATGGATGTAATACCTCTTTGAATGAGATGAATATGAAAATTGATATGTCCATAAGTAGGGCTACTCGAATTATCAACTTCTAGTGGTCATAGATCTCCTGGTTTAAGGTCTGTTGTGGGGATTATATAAGAATCAAACTTCAGGTCTTCGTAGTCTGTATATTTATACCTAAATATCATTGGTAGTCTATAGTTTTTCAAGTTAGAGAAGAGATACTCATTTTACTTACCATGTATAGGATTCATAAAGACAGTAAAGTAATTAGGATTAAAATAATAGTGAGTAAGATAATTAATACTGTTTCTACTTCTTAAGCATCTATTTTGTGTGGGTTAGTTTAGTTGTTAGTGTTAGTGAAATAACATAAAGGACTAAAGAGCTAATTAAGAAAATGGTTATTACAGTGTGATTGTGTAAGTGTAGTTCTTCTATAATAGATGATGCTGCATCTTGAAAGCCTGACTGGAATAGGTATACCACAATGATATAAAGAATTTTAACTTGTAAATTAACTTTGACAAAGTTATGTAACATTTTTACTAGTATCTTGCTTGTTGAAAAAGTCATAATGGTTATGAGGCTAGCCTGAAACTAGTTATAGGGGGTTTGACTCCTTGCTTTCTTATTTTTAGCTTCTATGTACGTGGGCTTTTTGATTGTATAATATGGTTATGGGTGGCCATGAAATCATTCGAGATTTTTAGATGAAAGTTCCACTACTGAGACTTCCCATTTTGAAGTGAAGCCTTCTCAGATTATGAAAATTATTAATATTACTGTTATTAATTAAATAAATGAGCCTATTGATGAAATGGTGTTTCATGTTGTATATACATTAGGGCAGTGACCTATAGTGGACCAGAAGTGTAAGGTCTTACACTTTAGTTTCTGAAAAAAATATTTAAAATATTATTTTGAACTCATAGATTTAAACATTTGATAGGCTGCAATCCATTGCAATCCATTGCAGGTTTTAATCTTTGTTAAAATGTGTTGGTCTATTTTATGTGAAATTAATTTGTCTGAATTTTTTGCCGGAGAATTGGCTTAGAAAACTCTTCTAGCTTGACAGATTCACACCTCTGATGTTTTCATTTGGGGTGTGTGTGTGTGTGTGTGTGTGTGTGTGTGTGTGTGTGTGTGTAGTATAATGGAATGCTTTTTAAGATTTCCTGGGGTCCTGTCCCGGAAGAGATACTTGGCTGGTCAGTTTTGAGCGTTCATAGTGGTTAGGCTGCTCCGGGCCCTTTAGATCTTACCATGAATCCCGAAATGAGAAAAACCCTCCCAGTTTCAATTGCTATTCTCAAATTGTCTCTGCACACTACCAGATTTTTGTACTAAAACTATATTTTATTTATAATGTTCACATCTATATTCATGAATGAGATTAGACTGTAATTTTTCTTTTTCATAATGTCTTTGTCAGGTTTTATTGTCAAGGCCATTATGTCCTCATGAAATGAATTGGGAAACATTCTCTGTCTTCCATTTAATCCTTGTTAATTATATCTTTAAGTTATTCAAGCTTTTTGAAGTTTCTTAGATTAGAAGATATATCCTTTTTTTCACTTGCTTTATTGTGGAAGATATTGTATATGTATTGAATAATTATATATATATATAATATATATAGTGTTATGGACTGAATGTATGTCCCCTCAAATTCATATGTTAAAATCCTAATCCCCAGTGTGATGTTATTTGGAGGCATTGCCTTTGGAAGATAATTAGGGTTAGATTAGGTCATGAGGGTAGGACTGTTATAATGATGGGATTAATGCCCTTATAAAAAGAGAAAGAGACACAAGATCCATCTCTTTCCACCATGTGAGGATATAAGAAGGCCATCTGCAAACAAGGAAGACTACTCTCACCAGACACTGGATCTGCCAGCACCTTGATCTTGGACTTCCTGACCTCTAGAACTGTGAGAAATAAATGTCTATTGTTTGGGGGAGGGATAGCATTAGGAGAAATAACTAATGTAAATGATGGGTTGATGGGTGCAGCAAACCAACGTCACACATGTATACCTGTGTATCAAACCTGCACGTTGTGCACAAGTACCCTAGAACTTAAAGTATATTTTTAAAAAGTCTGTTTAAGTCACCCCGTCTATTGTATTCTGTTATAGCAGCTCAAACTGACTAAGACTTGTGGTTTAAATAGTAAGAGTAATATATATTGAATAATTTCTATAACATGTATATATAGCCTAAATAATGATAATAAGCCCATTGTGTACATATTTATGATTCAGGTTAATAAATACACCACCAGTAATATCAGAAATATGTTTTGTGTACCCTTCTGAGATTACATCCCTCTCCTTAACTGTCTCCAGGTGACTAGTACCTTGATTTTTGTTGTAATCATTCCCTTTCCTTTGACTGTATCCCTAGACAATATATTGTTGGTTTGTCTCTTTAGAACATTTTATAAATGGATCACGTTGCATGTATTCTTCTATGAATCATACCATATATATTCTTCTGTCACTTGCTTTTTTCATTCATAATTGATTTCTTTAGGCTGGAAAAGATGAAAAAAGAATATAGAAATCTGAATACATGGATAGACAAAGCTAACTATTTAGAAAGCATTCTAATGCCAAAATTGGAACATAAGGATTCTAAGGTAATTGACATAATACATTCTCCTATATATAGCTTTTAATGCTTTTTATTAAGAATGGGATTATGATAATTTAAAATGATGATCAATTTTTTTGTCCTTGATATAATAAAATACTTTCCATGGTTCAGGTACTTACCTGTTTTGATAATGTGCCATTCAATGAATATTTATTGATAATTTGTAAGGTTTAATAGTTATTGATAATTTATAAGGGTATAATTCATATACCATACAAATGACCCATTTATAGAACTCAGTGACCTTTAGTATATTCACTGAGTTGTGTATCCATCACCACAGTGAATTTTAGAACATTTTTATCACCTGCAAAAGCAACCCCATACCCTTTAGCCAACACCTCCCAATTTTTCCACCCCCTCCACTAGCCCTAGGCAGCAATTAGTCAACTTTCTAACTCTATAGCTTTAGCCTATTCTAGATATTTCATATAAATAGAATCATACAATATGTTGTCCTTTGTGATTTGCCTCTTTTGCCTGCCATATTTTTAAGTTTCACCCCTGTTGTAGCATGTACCAGTACTTCATTTTTTTCTCTCTCCAGATAACATTCCATTATTTGGATATACCACATTTTGTTTATGCATTCATCAGCTGATAGGCATTTAGGTTGTTTCTATTTAAAAGCTATTCCCATAATGCTGCTATGAACATTTATGTGCAAGTTTATGTGTGAACAAATGTTTTCAATTCTCTTGGGTATATATAAAGGAGTGGAAGCAGGATTGTGTAATTATGCCCTGTTTAGATTTACGAGGAGCTTCCAAACTGCTTTCCACTGCAGCTGCATCATCGTACCTTCCAACCAGCAATGTATGAAGGATCAAAATCTTCATCTACCCTTTTTAACTTTTAAAAATTATTATTATATCCATCCTAGTGGGTTTGAAGTGGTATCTCATTGTGGGTTTGATTTGCATTTCTCTAATGACTAATGATGTGAACATCTTTTCGTGTGTTTACTGGACATTTGTATATCTTCCTCAGATAAAATTTATTCAAATCCTTTGCCAGTTTTAAAGTTGAGTTATTTTTCTTTTTATTGTTAAGTTGTAAGAGTTCTTTGTATTTTCTGGACATTAAACCCTTATCAGAAATGTGAGTAAGGTTTAATATTTAGAAATACACTCTAACCTATACATGTTGACTTGGAAATAAAGGATTCATAGCTCTCTCAATGGATGGATAAAACATTGACTATGATCACAGTCTAAAATGGTAGTTATAACATATTGATATTTTCATGTTTTTTAATGCCTCTGTGATAAATGGGCAGAGTTGTGCTGCTTTTGAATAAACTGATTAGTATTTACCAATACACTATTCATATTTTGGAGACACTTTGGAGGACTTTTTATTAAAGGGACTAAGAACTTAGGGTTCTTATTAAAAGATCATTTTTAATAAGATCATTTTTAATATTTTTTAAGTGCCCACTGATCACTTTACCTTATAATTCTCCTTGGAATTTTGTAAAGAGACACATCACTTTTAAGTTATAGGCCAAAATGTATTCTAATAAAAAAAGTAATCTGTTTCCTGGGGGTATCTTCTCATACCCCCTGAAGTTACAATATTATGTAATTTATCTTGTAGTATTTATCTCCTACATCCATCATTCAAATACTCCATCCATTCTTGGATACCCTTTCTTTGGAACATCAACTCCTAGTCAGAGTATGCGGCTCCTTAAAATACTGCTGTTTGAATTGCTTTTCTCACAAACCCATTTCCTTCTCGTCTTCTGTAAATTTGGGTGTGGAGGAAGGTGTATTGTATTAAAAGTGGTTATGAAGGCAGAGGAAAATGTTTTAGTTCTTCAAATATTTTCCCCAATATATTTTCTTTTTTTCTTTTCTTTTTTTTTTTTTTTTTTGCTTCTAGGAAACTAATGTGGATGAGGCATCTGAAAACCGGAAAAGTAATCAATCTGAAGAGAAGCTTGAAAATGTTGCAGGAGTAGGTAAGAAACTAATTTGATTTTTTTTATTAAGATAATTGAAATCAAAGTGATTATATCACAAAAAGACAATTAGTAATATGCTTTAAGTAGATTTCTTTTTTGTTAGGAAACAAATATGCATTTCACTGTAGTTTCGGCATATGGTAGGTGTGATAATTTTAAAGAAAAGTGTTAGGCCCTATTAAGAATATTAAAAAGTTTTAAGGCCCAGCATAGTGGCTCACGCCTGTAATCCCAGCACTTTGAGAGGCTGAGGCAGGTGGATCATGAGGTCAGGAGTTCAAGACCAGCCTGGCCAAGATGGTGAAACCCTGTCTCTACTGAAAATACAAAAAATTTGCCAGGCGTGGTGGCAGGCGCCTGTAATCCCAGCTGCTTGGGAGGCTGAGGCAGGGGAATCACTTGAACTCAGAGGGCGGAGGTTGCAGTAAGCCGAGATGTCGTCACGGCACTCCAGCCTGGGCAACAGAGTGAGATTCCATCTCAAAAAAAAAAAAAAAAAAAAAGTTTTAATGCTGCTTTATTTTATTTTTAAATATTATTATTATTATTATTGTTATTATCATCTGAGACAGGGTCTAGTTCTGCCACTCAGCCTGGAGTACAGTCGCACAACCACAGCTCACTGCAGCCTTAATCTCCTGGGTTCAACCAGTCTTCCCACCTTAGCCTCCCAAGTAGCTGACACTACAGGCACATGCCACTATGCCTAGCTAATTTTTGTATTTTTTTTTGTAGAGAAAGGATTTTGCCGTATTGTCCAGACTGGTCTCAAACTCCTGAGCTCAAGCAGTCTTCCTGCCTTGAATTCCCAAAGTGCTGGGATTACATGCATAAGCCACCACGCTTGGCCAATGCTCTTTTATTTTTTTAAGAATGAGAAAAAAGTTAAAATATTAACTATGACCTGTGAAAAGGCATTTTTATTAGAGATTGTGAACAATAGAGCTATTGGTCTCTTTTATGTAGAGGAGTGTGTTTATGCAGAGGAGTGTGTGTGTGTGTGTGTGTGAAAAAGTGTGGCAGAGGAAGAAGGAGAGGAAATTAGATTAGCGTTACATTTGAGAATTTATCGTAAAGTATCAGTAAGAGATTTAATAAATGGACTGTTGATGCAGTCTTTTAAAAATCTCTTAAATTTACTAAGAAAGCAAGTTAAAGTATAGTACTACACTTTAAAATACGTAATAATATAATGTAAAGTCTTGGATTCTGCAGGCATGGAATGGAATAATGACTTATTGTTTCAAGACTTTTGTCACACATTAATCGTCTCTTTCCTCTCCACTTCTAATTCTCTGGCTATATCAGGCTTTTGAAAGATTCATTTCCTAACTTCTAGGAATCTACCAGCCTAGCAGAGATACTACCTCTTTAGCTAACTCTTTACCTGAAACATTCAAGTTTTAGATATAGGATAATCATAGTTCCTCTCTTCAATATCACTGGAAGAATGGAGGGTAACTTTTTCAATCACTGGTGGTAGCTATCTTTTTTTCTTTTACTTTTTTTTCCACTTACTCAAAGATTGGTTGCATATATATTTACAATGGTTATATCCTCTTGATGTATTGATCCTTTATCATCATATAATGCCATTTTTGCATCTTTTTACAGTTTTTGACTTGAAGTCTATTTTTTATGTGAATATGGCCACTCCTGCTCTTTTTTGGTTTCCAGTTTCATGGAATATCTTTTTGCATTCCTTCACTTTCAGCCTATGTGTGTCCTTAAACCCAAAGTGAGTCTCCTCTACATAAAATACACTTGGGTCTTGTTTTTATGTCTATTCTGCTACTCTGTGTCTTTCAACTGGGGAGTTTAATTCATTTAAAGAATTATTGAATTATTAAGGACTTTTGCCATTTTTTACATTGTTTCTGTCTGTCTTGTAATACTTTTGCCTATCTTTTTCTGTCATGCTATGTTTCCTTGTGTTTCATTGATGTTTTTGTATTGATATGCTTTGGTTCCTTTCTCTTTGCTTCTCGTGTGTCGTCTTTTATTCTCAATAAATATAGATTCAAAACTACTTAACAAAATACTGACAGACTGAATTCAACAGCATATTAAAAGGAGCCAATGGAATTTAACTCCAGGATGCAAGGATGTTTCATCATACAGAAATCAATTAATGTGATACACTACATCGACCGCATGTAGGATTAAAAACCACATGATTATTTCAACAGATGTGAAAAATTATTGGACAAACTTCAACAGCCTTTTAGGATAAACACCTTCAAAAAACTAGATATAGTAATAAAGTAGCTCAATATATTAATAAGAAAGGCTATAAATGAAAAGCCTGTAGCAAATACCATACTCAACAGTGAAAAACTGAACACTTTTCCTCTAAGATCAGAAACAGCTCAAGGATGTTCATTCTGCCCCTTCTGTTAAACATAGTACTAGAAATCCTAGTCAGAGCAATCAGGCAAGAAAAAAAATAGAAAGTATCCAAATCAGAAAGGAAGAAGTAAAATTATCTTTGCAGATGGCAGGATCTTACATACAGAAAATTCTGTAGACTCCATACAAAAAGACCTGTTAGAACCAATAAATGAATTCAGTAAAGTTGCAGGAGATAAAACCAACACAGAAAAATCAGTTGTGTTTCTATACACTAACAATGAACTACCCAAAAAAGAAATTAAGAAAATAATTCCAGTTTACAATAGCATCAGAAAGAATAAAATAATTAGGAATAAACTTTTCAAAGGAGGTGAAAGACCTTGCACACTGAAAACTAAAATACATTGATAATGAAAAAGAAAATAAAGGGAAAGATATCCTGTTTTCTTGAGTTTGAAGATTTAATACTGTGAAAATGTTCATACTACCCAAAGCAGTCTACAGATTCAGTGCAATCTCTATCAAAATTCTAAAGGTATTTTTAACAGAAGTAGAAAAAGCAATCCCAAAATTTATATGGAACCACAGAAGACTCTGGATTGTCAAAATAATCTTGAGAAAGAAGAACAAGGCTGGAGGTATCACACATTCTGATTTCAAAATATATTACAAAAATATAGTAATTAAAATAGCATGGAGTGGCATAAAGATAGACATATAGACCAACAGAATAGAAGAGGGAGCCTAGAAATAAACCCATGTAAATGTGATGAACTGATCTTTGAGAAGTGTGCCAAGAATACACAATAAGGAAAGAATAGTCTTTTCAGCAAATGGTGTTGGGAAAACTGGATATTCAAATGCAAAAGAATTGAAATTAGACTTTTGCTTAACACCATAAACAAAAATCAGCTCTCAATGGATTAATGACTTAAATGTAAGACTGGAAACTGTAAAACTCCTAGAAGAAAACATAGGGGAAAATCTCATTGACATTGGTGTTGGCAATAATTTATTGGATAAGACACCAAAGGCACAGGCAACAAAAGCAAAAACAGACAGTGGGGCTATATCAAATTAAAAAGCTTCTACACAGTAAAGGAAACAACAGAGTGAAGAAGAAACCTACAGAATGAGGGAATATATTTGCGAACCATATATTTGATAAAGGGCTAGTATTCCAAAACATATAAGGAACTTTTTCAACTCAATAGCAAAAAAATTTTTAAAAAGTGGACTGAGCACTTGAATACATATTTATCCAAAGAAGACATTACAAATGTCCAACGGGTGTACGAAAAGGTGCTCATCATCATTAATCATCAGGGAAATACAAATCAAAATCATAATGAGATACGACACCTGTTAGGATGGCTATTACTGAAAAGTCAAGAAGTCGACAAGTGTTGGCAAGGATGTCAAGAAATTCGAACCCTAGTACACTGTTGGGGGAATGTAAAATGATGCAACTGCTTTTGAAAACAGCGTGGAGGTTACTCAAAAAAAATGACAAATAGATAAATCATATGATCCTGCCATTTCACTTCTGGGTGTCTATCCAAAAGAATTGAAATCAGTATCTCAAAGCAGTATTTGCACTCCTATGTTTATTGCCATGTTACTTACTATAGTCAAGATGTAGAAACAACCTAAATGTCATAGATGAATGGATAAAGAAAATGTGGTATACACACATAATTCAGAGACATTGCAGGTTCAGTTCTAGACCACCACAATAAAGCAAGTCATATGATTTTTTTTTTTGTTTTCTAGGGCATATAAACATTATATTTACACTATACTATTGTGTATTAAATAAAGTGTGCAATAGCATTATATAAAAAATCAATGTACATGACTTAATTTAAAAATACTTAATTGCTGGCTGGGCACAGTGGCTCATGCATATAATACCAGTACTCTGGGAGGCCAAGGCAGGAGGATTGCTTGAACCCAAGACTTCAAGGGTGGGGTGCATCAGGTAGGATCATGCCACTACACTTCAGCCTGGGTGGCAGAGCAAGACCCTATCTCAAAAAATAGAGAGAGGCCAGGTGCTGTGGCTCAAGCTTGTAATCCCAGCACTTTGGGAGACCGAGGTGGGCAGATCACCTGAGGTCAGGAGTTCAAGACCAGCCTGGCCAACATTTAGTAGAGACCCTATCTCTACTAAAAATACAAAAATTAGCCAGGCGTGGTGGCTCACACCTGTCGTCCCAGCTACTTAGGAGGCTGCTGAGACATGAGAATCTCTTGAACCTGGGAGGTGGAGGTTGCAGTCAGCTGAGATCACGCCACTGCATCTAGCCTGGGCAACACAGTGAGATGAGACTCCATCTCATATATATATATACACACACACACATATATATACACACACACACATATATATACACACATATATGAAGTTGTTTGGGTTTTCTTGTAAATTATATATATATTTTTATATATGATCATCTGAGCCTTCAGTGAGTTGCAATATTTTTGCTGCTGGAGGGTCTTGCCTTGATCTTAATGGCTGGGACTGATCAAGGTGGTAGTTGCTGAAGGTTGGGGTGGCTGTGGCAATTTTAAAAAATAAGACAACAATGAATTTTGCTGCATCAGTTGGCTCTTCCTTTCATTAAGGATTTCTCTGTAGTATGCGATGCTGTTTGATAGCATTTTACCCACAGTAGAACTTCTTTCAAAATTGGAGTCAGTCCTCTTAAACCCTGCTGCTGCTTTGTCAACTAAGTTTATATAGAATTCTAAATCCTTTGTTGTCATTTTAGCAGTGTTCACAGCATCTTTGGCAGTAGATTCCATCTCAAGAAACCACTTTCTTTGCTCATCCATAAGAAGCAATTCCTCATCCATTCAAGTTTTATAATGACATTGTAGCAATTTACTCACATCTTCAGGCTTCACTTCTAATTATAGCTCTCTTGCTATTTTCATCACATCTGCAGTTACTTTCTCTACTGAAGTTTCACTGAACATCTTAAAGTCATCCATGAGGGTCGTAATCAACTTCTTCCAAATTCCTGTTGATGTTTTGAGCTCCTCTCCTGAAGCACAAATGCTCTTAATGGCATCTAGAATGGTGAATCCTTTGCAGAAGGTTTTCTGTTTACTTTGCCAAGATCCCTCAGAGGAATTATGTAGGGCAGCTAAAGCCTTATAAAATGTATTTCTGAAATAAGAGGACTTGGAAGTTGAAATTACTCCTTGATCTGTGAGCTGCAGAATGGATCTGTGTTAGCAGGCATGAAAACAACATTAATGTCCTCAGACATTTCCATCAGAGCTCTTGGATGACCAGTTGCATTGTCACTGAGCAGTAATATTTTGAAAGGTATCTTTTTTCTGAATAGTAAGTCTCAACAGCGAGCTTAAAATATTCAGTAAACCATGCTGCAAACAGATCCGTGGTCATCCATGCTTTGTTGTTCCATTTATAGAACACAGGCAGAGTAGACTTGACATAAATGTTAAGGGCCCTAGGATTTTTAGAATGGTAAATGAGCATTGGCTTCAATTTAAAGTCAGCAGCTGCAATAGCCTCTAACAAGAGAGTTGGCCTATCCTTTGAAGCATTGAAGTCAGGCATTGAGTTCTCCTCTCTAGCTATGAAAGTCCTAGATGACGTCTTCTTCCAGCATAAGGCTATTTCATCTACAATAAAAACCTATTTAGTGTAGCCACTTTCATCAGTTATCTTAGCTAGATCTTCTGGGTAACTCGCTGCAGCTTCTACATCAGCACTTGGCTGCTTTACCTTGCACTTTTGTGTTACAAAGATACTGTCTTTCCTTAAACCTCATGAACCAACCTGTGCTATCTTCAAGGTTTTCTTCTGCAGCCACCTCACCTCTCTCAGCTTGCACTGGATTGAAGAGAGTTAGGGGCTTTCTTTGGATTAGGCTTTGGCTTAAGGGACTGTTTGTGGCTGGTTTAATCTTCTATCCGGACCATTAACATTTTCTCCATATCTGCAATAAGCTGTTTTGCTTTCTTATCATTTGTGTATGGAATAGCACTTCTAGTTTCCTTCAAGAATTTTTTCCTTTGCATTCACAGCTGGGCTGTTTGGTGCAAGAGGCCTAGCTTTTGGCCTGTCTCAGCTTTCAACATGCCTTCCTCAGTAAGCTTAATCATTTCTAGCTTTTGATTTAAAGTGAGGGATGTGCAAATCTTCTTTCACTTGAACACTCAGATTCATTTTGGGGTTATTAATGGCCTAGTTTCAATATTGTTGTGTCTCAGGGAATAGAGAGGCCAAGGAGAGGAAGAAAGATGGGGGAACAGCCGGTCAGTGGCATAGTTAGAACACACACAACATTTATAAATTAAGTTTGCCATCTTACAAAAGTCTAATATCCAGCATTTATAAGGAACTTAAACAAATTTACAAAAAAAAAAAAAAAAAACACCTTGTTAAACAGTGGGCAAAGGACATGAACAGACACTTTTCAGAAGAAGACACACATGTGGCCAACAGGTATATGAAAAAATGCTCAACATCACTGATCATTAGAGAAATGCTAATCAAAACCATAATGAGATACCATCTCACACCAGTCAGAATAGCTATTATTAAAAAGTCAAAAAATAACAGATGCCAGCAAGGTTGCAGAGAAAAAGGAATGCTTATACACTGTTGGTGGGAGTGTAAATTAGTTCAACTACTGTGGAAGACAGTGTGGTGATTCCTCAAAGACCTCAAGACAGAAATGCCATTTGACCCAGCAATCTCATTACTGGGTATATACCCAAAGGAATCTAAATCATTCTTTTATAAGGACACATGCCTGGGTATGTTCATTGCAGTACCATTCACAATAGCAAAGATATGGAATCAAGCTAAATGCCCGTCAATGGTAGACTGGATAAAGAAAATGTAGTACATATACACCATAGAATACTATGCAGCCATAAAAAGAATGAGATCATATCCTTTCCAGGAGCATAGATGGAACTGGAGACCATTATTCTTAGCAAACAAATGCAGGAACAGAAAACTAAATACCACGTGGTCTCACTTATAAGTAGGAGCTAAATGATGAGAGCACATGGACACATAGAGGGGAACAACACACACTGGGGCCTATCAGAGAGTGGAGGGTGGGAGGAGGCCTAGGATCAGGAAAAATAACTAATGGATACTAGGCTTAATACCTGGTGATGAAATAATCTGTACAACAAACCCCCATGACAGAAGTTTACCTATGTAACAAACCTGCACATGTACAATTGAATTTAAAAGTTAAAATTGTTTTTAAAAGTTTGCTATCTTAGATGGGTGTGGTTTGTGGTGCCCCTCAACAATTACAATAGTAACATCAAAGATCACTGGTCATAGAGTACCATAAAAGATATTATAATAATGAAAAAGTTTGAAATATTTTGAGGATTACCAAAATGTGATGCAGAGACACAAAGTGAACACATACTTTTGGAAACATGGCACCAATAGTCTTGCTCAATGCAAGGTTGCCACAGACCTTCAATTTGTACAAAACACAGTATCTGAGAAGTGCAATAAAAAGAGATATGCCTGTGTACATACAATGGGATATCATTCAGCATTTAAAAAGAAGGAAATCCTGCCATATGTGACAACGTGGATGGACCTTGAGGACATTATACTAAGTGAAATAAGCCAGTCACAGAAAGACAAATATTGCATGATGCCACGTATGTGAGGTATATGAAATAGTCAGAGTAGAATGCTGGTTGCCTGAGGCTAGGGGGAGGGGCAAATAGGGAATTGCTTTTCAACAAATATAAAGTTTAAGTTTTGCAAGATGATGAAGTTCTAGAGATCTGCTTTACAACATTGTGCTGATAGTTAACATTATTGTGCTTTACACTAGAAAATTTGTTAAGAGGATAGGTCTCATGTGAATTGTTCTTACCACAATTAAAAGAAAAGAAAAAAAAAGAGCTGAACAAAGTCATATAGTCGTGACCATAGCAAATTTTTTTGCTAGAATTCTGCCTCAGTTATTTATTTTCTTTTTGTCCCTTTTAGGTTTTCCCTTTTTACATGCTAAATATGTATTCCTTATATTTCTAGGAAAATTTTACAAGTATTTCAACCAGCCTTCTTTGAATGGTCCTATTTTGCCTAATTTCATACACCCTTATTCTAGTCTCTTCTTCCAATCCTGGTCCCATCACTTATCATCTGGAATTTATTTCCTCTCAACTTAAAAAAAAATATAGCATGTACCTGTGTTTGTGTCTTGTATTTACGCATCTGAAATGTTATCATTTACCACTCCCCCATCTTCCCAGAGATTCATCAGCTTGTTTATAGTAAGTAGTGTTTATGTTTGGTTAGATGCTTTGATTTAAGTTGCTGTTTGTTTTTAGTGAGAAAAAAATGTAATAGTATTTTATCAATGTGCATACATATGTTTATTTTTTTTACGTAAAATAAAATACCCCCATTAATTTTTAAGCAGATATCCCTCTTGTAAATGAGGAAGCTGAAACTACTCCAAATGAGGTAAGGGAAATTGGAAGAGAACTTTTAATAGTCATTATTTTATAAAGGGATAAAATATTTATAAATGGAGAAATATTTATAGGTAGAGAAAGGCATCTGAGAAGTTACTCAGTTGTTTTACGGTTTCTATTATGGCAATATCTGTATAGTTACACTCTTGAAAGAGCCTTCTGCATAAAATAGTAACATTTAAAAATATGAAGATGGGGACAAAATGTGTTGAGGAAGAGATGAAGGAGAAACAAGAAAAAAGCATGAAGTTCTACATAAGATCTTGGAAATAAATGCCATAGACCTAACTGCAGTTTTTACTCTTTCTCACCAAAATCTTTTATCATATTGTAAACTTTGCACAGAAAATAGTATTCTCTAGTTTATAATAGAAATAAACAAAACATAGAGTTTACATAATATAACTTGCTTTTCAGCTAAATTTACGTAAGGTATTCATTCCATAAAGCAGTGAATCCCCATGTAAACCAATGAAGAGTAAAATGTTCACTTACTGCTTGACAAATAGGATTTAATGATTTCCATTTCTGGGTCAGTGGCTCCCAAATGCCAATTGAAGAGTCATTATGTATTGCTATTTTCCCCAGTTCAAGGAGAGTAAAAGAAGATAATATAGAGAATTTTTCATAAAGCTAAATTTATTTAGTTTAACAGGCCATCCTTTATTTTACAATATTGTTCTTTGTACTGTGGTGCTATTAATATTCTCTTTATTTTCTTATATAGTTGTGATTTATGATATCATTCCTTGTGCGTTTTGCTATTAAAATTTCCTTTGTTTCATGATATATTGGTGGCAGGATAATAATAGTAGAATGTCAGACCCTCAGATTTTTTATTTTGAGATGTTGCTGATTTATAGATTTGGATATATGAGAACCACTGCTTTATCATTTTTATGGATAGTATTCTACAGTCCATGGTTTCAGGCAAGTAAAGAATTTCACATGTTTATTAAGGAATTTAAAATTTATAAATAATAATGGTAATTTGTTATGATAAAGGATAAGAGTACAATTGATTTTGAGTCATTTTCTTAATTTGTAAACTTTTCCAGTCAATAATGATTAATTGGTAGTTTGTTTTATTGCTGTATTTTCTAGTTACTGGATAATGATTCTGAGAAAGGCCTGACTGTACCAACTTTGAACCAATTGGACCAAGATAATTCAACTGCTGATACTTCTAAAAGTGATGAATCAACACCTTCACCCACAGAAGTGCACTCATTGTGCACTATTTCTAACCAGGAAATAATAAAAGCAGGCAGAGTACCACCTTTAGGTGAACGTCAATCAGAAAGCATGCCAGACAGAAAAATGAAAAATGTGTTTTTTCCATCAGAAGTAAAATTAAAAGATAACTATCCAAGCATTTTAAAAGCAGACTCATCTCTATCAGAGGTAAATTTCAGGAGTATCTGTATAAATCCAAGGAGAAGGAACTTAGTTTCATCTCCAACAGAAATTAGCTGGCAAAACAACAGTCTTAACTTAGCTGAAAGGAAGAACACAGGCTTAGTTTCCACCAGATTAAAAATTAAAAGGTAGCTTTCAAAGCCAAGACCCAAAAGAAGGCCTTGAGCTCAAGGTGTCTGCCCTTATATTAGAAGTGTAAGACTAGGGACACAAAATAATCTATTTAAAAAAATTAAATACGAATAAATTGAAAATGCCTTCAAATGTCTCCAAGTGGAAATGTGTCTAAGTATATTAAATATTCCTACTTTACTTATATCAATCAAGAAATATGGATAAAAAACTTTCAAGAAAAGCAAAGTGATTTGAGATGCCAGTAATACAAATTAATCTCATGGGTTGGTAATTCAGCTGAAAGTGTAACAACAATAACAAAATGTAAATTCAAAGGAAATTTAAAAGCCTGGGAAGTTATTTCAGTGGAAATTCTTAATACAACTATTATATTATAGGAAGTAGCATATGTTCTCCTTATTACAAATAATTTTATAGTTTAAAATGAGAATAAGTGTGTGAATTTAAAGGTACATCAAATTCTAGACTTTCTCAAAATGACAACATTCTACTTACATCTTTATATCTTATTGGAATCACTATTACAGTTAGTTCATCAAATGATATAAAAAGATACATAGGTCAGAAGATAAAGATTTTGAGTTCTAAGTAAGATTATGCTTCTAAATACTAGCTTGGGCATCTAAGTCTCTAGATCTATTTCTCTCATTATTTGAATGGTAGATCAGACTAGGTCATTTCTAAATTCTTTCCCAAATTTCAAAAGGTATAATTTTAACTGGGAATTATTCTCAATTACCTATGTCAATAGCTTAATTAATACAACTTAAAAATAACATTCTTGTTTTTTCTAAATGTTCTGAAAGCAATGCACAGTCACAGAAAATTTAGAAAATGGAGAGAAATATAAAAGAGAAAATAAAAGCAGTTATAATTCTACTGCTACATTTAACAATTTTATTTTCTTTTAGTCTTTCTTATGCATATATGCATATATCTTTTATGAATTTTAAAAGCTTGAATCAAAATAGACATATAATTTTTATTTTTTGACTTTACATGCATGCCACCTGAATTTTCTTAAAAATTTGCAAGATGTAGAATGTCCTCAAATATTAATATTCCATAAGTTTTTAAACAGTTTTCATATTGCTGGAATTAAGTTTGAAATTAACATTCTTTTGCTTATTTATTTGGATCTGTGGATCTGTGATTATCTCCTAATGTATTTACAGAAATGGCATGCTAACAAATTGCTCTCCAGAAAGACTGTACCACTTTACATTCTTACCAACAGTATTTGAGTATTAATGGTCTTTTAAATAATGATTAACACTTTTTCTTGCTCATTAGTCATTTTGGTTTTCCCTGCTATGAGTAGACAGATCATGTCCTTTGTCCATTTTTTTCTTTTGAAGACTTGGGGCTTTTGTTTAGGTTTTATAATGAGTTCTTTTGATTTTAAGGTATTAACCACTTGTATAGGCACATAGTTTGTAGTTTACCTTTTAATTTATGTATTACATTCAATCTGACTTCCAAAATATTCAATTTTCACTTGATAAGTAAGTTATTTATTGCTATATAACAAACCACTCCAAAACCAAGTGGATTGAAAAAAACATTTTATTATCTCTCAAGATACTGGGGGGTTGACTTGCTTGTTGGGCAGTCCTTCTGCTCCACTTAATGTTGGATGTTAGATGGACTTACAGTTATCTAGGAGCTTGATTGATTTGGAACACTCATGACGACTCACTTACATGTCTGACACCTTGAATAGCTGTTAAGGCTGGGCTCAGCTGGGATGCAAGAACATCTGGTTTGATGTGTCTGTTTCCTTCTTTCTGTCTCACATATATATGTGTGTGTGTATATGTGTGTGTGTATATATGTGTGTGTGTGTATATATATACACACACCTCAGATTAGATAGATAGATAGATAATATATAGATCTTTCTTTCCATGTAATCTTGGGAATTATCCTTCTCTCTCTCCATGGGGCTTCTTCTTGTGGTCTTTCTATATAATCTGTCTAACAAGGCTGCTGAGCTTTTTATGTGGCAGCTCAAGGCTTCCAAAATGCAAAAACAGAAACTTCAGGTCCTCTTAAGACATAGGCTTGGGATGAGCACAGGGTCACCCTCACTACCTTCTGTCGATTACAGCAAGTCCCATGCTCAGTCCTGATTCAGTATGGGAGGGGACTACAGAAGGGCATGAATCTTGGGAGGAGTTGTACATCAGGGACCATATTTGGAGATTAACTAAGTTCCAAGTAAGTCATATTCCTCCTACATGCAAAATATACTCACTTCACTCCCAAGATCCTCAATGTCATGCTATTACTGTATCAAGCTCAGGCTTGAACTACAAAATTTTATTATCTAACTAAGGTTCATGTGGGTGAGGCTCCTTAGGTATGACTCCTCTCAAACTTAAAATCTATGAATTGAAGAGACCAGTTATCTGTCCCCTACATACAATGACAAGCCAACAACAGGAAAATTGGAACAGACACTTCCGTTATAAAGGTAGAGGGAGGGAAAACATGAGGCATACATCAGTCAGTTGACCATAGTAATTCTGAAGTTCTTGGCCTTGCCCTCACGTTTTAGCCTTACCCTTTGAATAATCCTTTTTCCATAAGAAATACTTTTGTTTGTAGTTGTAGCCCATGTTCTGTGTGTGGGAAGTTGAAAGTTCAAATGTGTCTTTTCATTTTTGCTTTCATTGAAGACTGAAATTTCACATATGTGTCTTTTCTTTCTAAACTACCCCTGTTCCTTTCAGTCCAAGATGCTATTATTCTCTTAAAGATTTTGTGGGCTTCCTGTGTATCAAATTAAGATCTAAATTAGTCAAATGTTACCCTTCTAAATATCTTCAAGTCAGGCCCCTATTTCCTTGGGCTGAGAGTCAGGGTGCTGTGGCAAAATGTCCTTAAGAAATTTAGAAGTGCCCTTGTCTGGCAAAGAAGGCCTAAGTTGCTACTTAAGATTCTTAAAATAATTTTTGCCTAGCTGAGTAGGCCTATGAGTCACCACCTTAAATCTTTTTGAGGTGTTAACAGATCTTACAGCCATACCCTTGTCATCTTAACCCTGAAACACATTCCTATGAACCCACAACTGAGTCCCCAGTGACTTCTATATTACCAGATGTGGTTATCAGTTCTCAGTCCTCATCTCTGTGACTACTTAGCCACATTTGAAAAAATAGTTCCACCTTTTTTGTCTTGAAACTGATATTTTTCACTGGCCTTTTGTAATATTACATTCGCCTAGTTTTCTTCCTTCTTCATTGGCTACTCTTTGCTGGGGAGGTCTCCTCTTCCAATTTCTAAATGTAAGATTGTCTCACACCCAGTCCTTGTGTTTTATTTTTTCTCTAACCTTTCTAGGTTATTCATTCAGCCCTGTAACTTTAAATATAATTTGTAAATGAATAACTCCCACATCTTGGGGCTCTTCCATGAACTCCCGGAGTGTATATGTAAAAACTTACTTCACTTAGATATCTTATAGAAATGTCAAACTTAACATGGCGAAGACTGAATTCTTAATTTCACCTCCACTAATTTAGATTCTCTCCTCTTAATGTTCCCTATTCATTTAATCTTTTCAGCATATAAACATTCCAGGCATTATTTCTAGGTCAATGAAATGTGTTGTTGAACATAAAAGACAAAAATAAATGTTCTTGTGGAGTTTATATTCTTATAAATGGCACCTCTAAACTATTAAGACCAATACCGTAGGAGTCAACCTTGATATTGTGGTTTCTCTCATCTCTTATATCCAGTCCACCATCAAGTCTTGTTAATTCTGTATTCAAAATATATCTGAAATCCACCACTGTCATTGCTATCACCTTGACTTAGACCAAGCTACTTTCATCTCTCCTGTCTGCTATAAAAGCTGAGTTTTCCTGCTTCCAATTTTGCCTCTGTCTAGTTTGTTCTTCTAATAGCAGCAAGACCGATCTTGTAAAGATGTAATCTAAATCATGTCACTCCTCTGATCAGTATTCTTCAATGGCATGTTTTCATGCCTGGAATAAAGTCCAAACTTCTCACCATCATCTACAATGCCCCCACTTAATATTTCTGTCCTCATGTGTTAGCATGTTTCCCTTTGTTCACTCTGCTTCAACCACATTAGTCTTCTTATTATTCCTTGAACAAACCAAACTTATTCCAGCCTCAAGGTCTTTCTAATATTTTTCTCCGTCGGGAATGCTCTCCCCCACAGATCTTCTCAGGGTTCATTCATTCACACCATTTAGGACTCTGCTCAGATGTTCCCTCCTTAATGGAGGGCGGGTTGGGGGGCTCCTCTGACCACTCTATGTAAAGTAATTATCTACCCATCCACCCTCCTCCATTCCTAGTATTCTTTCTTCATATATCATTTCCTGGTATCATATTATGTTTCTTTACTCATTTATTGTCTGTTACTCCCATTTGACTTTAAATTACAGATAGTACTGAGATTTAGTCTTATTTACCACTGTATCTTACTATCTAGTAATAATAATGAGTATTTTAAACGCAATACATACATAATTAGACTCATACATAATTAGAGCTCTTACTACTTAGAACTCACCACTAATAGTGATGAGTCCATGTTAGGCAGTAGTAAACATCTGTTGAATTAGTTTAGTTAAAAATACTGCAGGGTCTTGAGGCATTTGCTGTGGAAACTCTGAATATATTATATTATAACTCCTAGGCCTCACTGTATGTAGTTAAGTCAATCACATAGTCATAGGAAATGCAATCATTTTAATACTCAAGGTGAACGAACCATCTAGCTCTGACACACTAAGTGTCAGGCATAAGGCTGCAAGATTATTTCCACAAAGGGCAAGTGGTAAGAGCTCTAATAATGTATGAATCTTTGA